TTCTTCTTCTTCTTCTTCTTCTTCTTCTTCTTCTTCTTCTTCTTCTGCTTCTTCTTCTTCTGCTTCTTCTTCTTCATTCTTCAGGCAGCAGGACAAAACAAACACTTTTTCAAGCTGGATTTTTCTATGCTCCTAATTGACACAATTCAGATAATTAATCAGGAGAATGACTTCGATCCCACCTCTCAGGGCCAACTCGGGCTGAGTGGGAGGATACACCATTCCAGCCGACATACAGAAATATTTAAAAAGAGTTTTCCCCATACGAGAATCGAACGCGAGTCTTCTGTGTGCGACAGTATAGCCCCTGACTGCTATACCTCAGACGCCATTACTTTCTTCTTGAATAAGTTTACTGATTAGAAATTAACGTTTCTACCTTTAAGAATTGGGCAGTGGATAGGTTTCACCCTTCGTTCTTGCAGTACGATTAGAGCTATTATTACACATTTGTTTTGGTATTAAAGTCTGTGCAGACGGCTAATTCAATCGCTTTGCGTCCCTTTGTATCGCATCTCCAGCTAATTATACTCTTTCCTTTGTACCAGCAGACTAGCGGTGACCATTAAATCACAATTTGGGTACACAAAGTTTATGTTAAGTCATAATTTCGGCACCAAACTTTATCCACAAAAAGTTTTCAAATAGCAGTACATTTAGGTTTGTGTGGTCTTCTAGTCTATAACAGTGACAATCACGTACTTAGTTACGTCAGCCGACCGAGCCGCAAGAAGAGGCTTTGCTTCGTAGGCGGTACACTTTAAAGGTTTATTTAATACAAATAGCCATTAGCCCCGAGCGCGGTCTGGCCTGGGCTCTTGACCAGTGCGGCAGAGGATTAGTCAAGTAAATACAGCTGTCAACAAACAGGTCAATGGTCAATACGACCATTAGTTAAAATTATAATGATAATAATAGTATGACAGAGTTGTTCTGATATTATTATGCGCTGTCACTTCAAAGAGTACTGAATTTCGGTTCAAATCCGTTGTTTATTTAATTGTCGTGTTTTGTAAACAAGGGTGCTAACGATAATGGTTTATAGTGCTTTGCTTTATATTGCATGAGATGAAGTTACATATAATTTGGGCTTTGTGTCGTCTTTTTGTGTTTTTATTCAATTTCTTTCTTTCCAAACGACCAAAAGGCAAACTCAAATTCTTTCGGTACCTGTTCGTGATCTTCGAATTACTAATCTATCATTTTTGTTTTTAAATCTGAAAGTATAAAAACATCTTTGATACGTGCTGGGCTGCATTAGAAACTTTTCAGATTCGAACCAGCAATACGATAATTTGCAACTTGGGATGTTGAGGAAAGTTTCAACGCTTTCTAACAGCCAGGCTTTTGCTTATTTATTTAAGAAAGACGCCACATGCGATGACACGCCTTTCCAATAACTTGGCATCGTTGATAACACCATCGAGCTTGGTTTTGAGATTCCTGAGCACTAATCTAACTATCTGTATAATAATACATCTTTCTAATAGTTCTGTTACTGCCTAGATTTGCTCTTCGTCTCTCCCCCACCTCTCTCTCTCTCTCTCTCTCTCTCTCCCTCTCTCTCTCTCTCTCTCTCCCTCACCCCCTCTTCCGTCTCTCTCCTCCCTTTCTACGTCTCTCTCCACCCCTTCTCCCTTTCCCGCCCCCTCTCTCCCCCTCTCTGTCTTTCTCTCTCTCTCTCTCTCTCCCCCCTCTCTTTCTCTCTCTCTCTCTCTCTCTCTCTCTCTCTCTCTCTCTCTCTCTGTGTCTCTCTCTCTCTCTCTCTCTCATTTTCGGACCTTACTACCTCTGTTGGAACAATAGACAAGCTCAAGCTCATGGTCGTTCTGTTCTCAGTATGGGTTTGTCGTTTTTCCTGCGTCTTGCAGATCCTCGTAGAGAGTTGTTGGAGAGCCCTTCAGCTGAACGACACCGTAGGCTCCGGGAACGCAGGGATTAACCCAATGCTGGAGGGGAGGTTTTTAGCCTGCGTTGCAATAATGTTTGGCGACAACTTGCAATAAAGGTAGACCTTGGTCGGCACAACTTTACTAAGAGGCAGGTTAGACGTTGGACGACAAATGGGTAATCATAGTGCATTTAGAATAATAGTAGTTAATATCATGTAGCAATATAGGGAGAAAGACGTTTAGATCTAAGTCTTTGTACTCTCGCCCCCTCTCTCTCTCCTTCTCTCTCTTTATTTTTCTCTCTTTGTCTCTGTCTGTCTGTCTGTCTGTCTGTTTGTCTGTCTGTCTGTCTGTTTGTCTGTCTGTCTGTCTGTCTGTCTGTCTGTCTGTCTGTCTGTCTAGATAGATAGATAGATAGATAGATAGATAGATAGATAGATAGATAGATAGATAGGCAGGTTGTTTTTCTTTTAACAAAGAGTCTCTAATTGCTTATAATATTTTCTTGTAAGACTTACCCTTTTAAAAGAATTCAACTAGAGCAGGTGAGAATTCAAGAACTTGATATTGGCGCAGAAAAACAAACTTCGGTCTCAGTTATAAAAGAAATAAGAACAGCAAAAACAGCAACAACGATAATAAAAATAATATCAATTACAATAATAAATTTCTCAAAATATCTTTGAAAGCTGTCTCATCTTTAGTCCCATCGGGGCGGATCTTTTTCCGTTACTCCCCCCCCCCCCCCCCAAACCCCCAAAGAAACAAATTTTAAAAAATTAAAAAAACTACACACAAAAAACCCCACAACAAACAAACAAACAAACAAACAAAAACAACAACAACCCATTTTGAGGTAGCGAATTTATATAGCGCATATCCCTGCTCGAAAAAAAGATTGTCAGTACATTAGTTGGTCTAAGTATACGCCTACATTTTGTAAATATCCCATAGTTGCATCTCTCAATACTTTAATCTTTAACAAATCATATTAAGCCCTAATTTATGCAAGTCGCAATTTCAGATTATTTTTGTGGTCAACTGAAAATGTATAGATTTCTGTGAAACACAT